AATAACCTGAGTCTTTCAATAACCATTCTTAATTACTCTTAAAATATGATCTATAGAGATTTTTCTTGATTAAATAAGACTGTGATTTCTTCCAAATGTATCTATTTCTGTGGTTCCCATTATGATTATTATACTTTATCAAGTCTCCTAGCATCTATGAGACTATATCTTCTAATAGTTATTGGTAACAAAGACATATATGTATGCCTCCTAGTATTTGATTAGTCCTTTATATTTTTTTGATTAATACTAATAATCAAAGTCTTATAGCCTTTCATAAAGATGATTTTTTGAGAAACATATAAAACTGATATAATCCTAGGTTGATTATTGTTTTTCCTGATATTTCTTAAGGTCTTCACATATTTTAGGTAGTAGGATATCATGGGATCTTTCTTCTAGTAATAAAACTAACTAGGTTCTACATGATCCGATTTTATTATACTGTGATTAGACAGTAAGTTTTTATAGATTGTTTATATACAAGTGTATATATGATGTTAACTATATATCTTATACAATGTAATTTATATTGAAGAACTGTTTTAGAGTAGAATTGAATCAATAACTTGTGGTTGATAATCTGGAAGCATACCTACTATACTATTAATTCAAAGGTCTATATTATAATTTATATTATTTATAATTTATAAATATAATTTTAATTTAAAAAAATTATATATAAGTTTGTTAATTTTTTTATTTTATAATTTTATATTTTTAAATTGTTATAAAATAGTGACCTATGGATCTATAGCATAGTGGTAGTGCTCCCAGGTCACAATCATAAGATCCAGAGTTCAATATTACATGAGGACGAATATGAAAATAAGCTACAGATAGTATACAAATCTTATCTATCCCATGATAATAATCAGGTATCCCAAATAAGGCAATAAGGAGAACCCATCCACTTATAGCTATAACAAGACAAGATCTGAAACAATACAATTTACAAACAAGCTAACACAAGTGATACAATTTCCCCACACAGAACAAATTATCTGGTTATGATAGGAAAAAAAAAGGACTTATCCACTTAGGGAATAACAAGACATGTCCAAAAAGAAAGACAAAATTCAGCCTGGTGTGATGCTGAAGATATAAGACAGGTCCCAGAAATCAAGTGATATAAAGTTCTTTATACAAGACCGCTTCAATCAAGTATCAAGACAGATCTTGACACAAGACAAGCTCCTATAGACAAGAAAAAGTTTAAGCACTAATAGAGTCATCCCGTATAAGAGAGAGATCCTCAACACTGATGGTAATAGATATTTTGGGTGAGTTCTTGACATGTTAGTTTTCCAAAAATTAGGAATAGCAACAAGTCATCTGGTAGGCCACAAAAGCCCTAGGAAGTATCACTTTCAGATATAGGATAATATGGCATAGTCACTTTGACTCCCCTAACTCCTATAGCTTAGTTAGAATTAAGAGACAATCTTACACTAGACGGTCATATAGTTATTCCATTCTGGTTGAATGAGATGTAAATAGATGCCTATTGTATTATTCATTGATCTATAAATCCTTAGACAGTACAGGTAATTACTTATTCCGGTTGTCCCTAGGACATATCTTGATTATAATAAAGTATACAAACTGGTGCAAGAATGAACTAGTGTTAAAACATATTATAAAATAGGTTTAATTTTTTTTTTTTTAATTTGCAATTATATTATAATAGTATATCTTATTAAGAAATCAAAACAAAATCTATAATAGTTTATAGACTTTTATAAAGTGACTAACTTATCTTTATATATAAGTACTTTAAATTAGATTTTAAAAACAATATTAAATTTCTTTAATAAATTGGTTATAATCTTTATCTATTAAAATCATTATTAATAGTTTATTACTATTTATTGATTTAAAAACTAATAAATTATTAAATTAAAAAAAGAAAAAAAAATAATTAAGAATATTATAGTTTTTATTTACTTTAAAATAATATTATATATATAATGACTTGTATATAAATATATTATATACTATATATACTAATTAGCCTATTAAGAGAAACCATATAATATTTTTTTAAATTTTTTAAACTAATTTTTAGAGAATCTAGTTATTAAACTATTATATTTGCTTTAACTTGTTACTGAATTTAGAAGTTTGGTGTAATCTATAAATTTTTCTTTTTATTAAAGTCTTCTGATAATAAGTCTTACTTATTTTAATTATATGTTTATGTATTTATCAATACAATATTTATTCTTTTTAAACTTTAAAACTTTTTAACTTGGGATAATTTCTTACAATTAATAAAATCGACAAGATATTTGATACAATTTAGTTTTCATTTTAGTTAACTACAAGATCAATTCTATTTTCTTTATTTTATCAAAATACTGATAAGATACTTATTATCTTACAATATCTATAGATTAATCTAATTTAATAAAGATTAGCTACAGATAATATTGTATAATAATAGATTCTTTCATTTTAAGTATTCAGTAAGATAATCAAAACTATATTCAATAATATTTTACTATCACCTAATAGAGTACTGAATTTCATTGTGATATAATATTTTTTACTTAGCTTTTATATGATATTGAACTTTGAATTTTATAATTGTGTCCTGGAAGTATTATTATTATAATATAAGTTTAATAAATAGTTTTAATAAATAGTTGATAAATTATTAATTAATAGTTAATAAATAGTTATTGAATAGTTAATAAATAGCTATTAAATTTTTAATAAATTGATAATAAACTTTAACAAATTATTAATAAATTTTAATAAATTTTTAATAAATCATTATAAAATTATTGATAAATTTTGAATAAATTATTAATAAATTATTTGACAAATTATTAATATATTTGTTAATAAATTGTTTATAAATTATAAATATATCAATTTTTATAATATTTGTTATTAAATTATATATAATTAATTATTACTAATTTATTTATATTATTAATCTGATAAATTTTTTATTTTTTATTTTTATTTTTTTTAAACCCTTTGTCAGGCTAATTATATATACGTTATTAAACAATTATAGGCTGTACATTAATATATGATACTAAAGTTAAGTTTCTAACTAACTCACTCATTAAAGTTTTTATCCAAAACTTTAAGTACAACTTCAAAAGTGATTTATCACTCCATTAATAGTTTAAATAAAAATCCTTTCAACTTTTAACATCATTATTCACAGGTCACTATTACAGATAATCTAATAAATTATTTTATTTTTTATCAAATATTATATAAGTAATAATATAATTTATTTTTTTTATTTTAGTTGAATCTTTGCAATAATAACTTGTAAATAATAATATTAATAATTAAAAAAATTTTTTATATAAATTATTAATAAAACAATAAATTTCTTTTGAAATTTTATTTAAAATTAACTTATATAAGTTAATTAAAAAATCAACTTTAATAATACTATGTACTGTATATAATTTATAAAAACAAAGCATATACTAATTTTTATAATTTCGCCCAGCATTAAATAATTTTTCCCGGCACTAGATCAATTCCTCATAAATTAATTCTAATCGTAATTCTGGCCGAGTTTACAAGCGAGTTTAATTAACTCTGGCCGGAATTAATTTAATTCTAATCGGGACGCCTTTAATTTTAACACTGATTTTAATTCTTGTGGTAAATTATATTTTTAATTGTGACGGTTTCCGTTTTGGTATTAATAAAATAAAGAAGAGAAATAATCATAATTATTAGTCGTATTAATATTTTAAACAAAAAAAGCCCTTTGTAATACAAGGAATATACCGGAATCAATCTAAAAACGATAATCTATTACATCGCAACGGGTTTCTTTTTCGAAAAAAATGTCAAAGACAAAAGATCAAGGGAAAAAAATTCTTGCATCAACTTTAGCTGGTACTGGAGCTGGGAAAGTATCTTAAAAAAAAGAAATTGAAAGAAAAACTTTAGACTACTTCTGCTCCTATAAATTAAAAGGAATGTGTATTGAGCCATCGCACTCAAATTAACAGCGGAATTCTATAAATCTATTATTAAAATTTTAATTCTTGTATTCTTTTGCGTTTTATGCCCGGATATTGTGAGGATGCTCGACCGGAATTATTCTACTTCTAATGGATTGCAAACTAATCGTAAAATTAATTTCGTATTCGTATATATAGATTCGTCGAAGTTCTTATTATGCAGGTTTTTAAATTAATTCATTTAGAACGATTTGTTGTTCTATTATCGTTACCATTTAATTCTCACGAGATAAACGTGTATGCAATGTAAATTACTCTTTCCTTAAATCGCAGCCTACTGACGTTCTAAAAACGAGGTAAACTTTCTTGTTAATTGGTCTCGCTGAATGAAAAAGGTCAAATTATATTAATATAACAAATACTCTTTTTAGATATCAGGTAGCAAAACCTCACTTACTTATAATATAGCGAATCTGTCAAGTTTGGCTAATAAATTCCTTTCATAATTAGTCGATTCGCGTTTCTTCGAACTATGAAGGATTTGGAATACTCAAATCATTTCAACGGATTGTTAATAAAGAAGGTTTACTTGGTATGGTTCAGTTGTTTTCTTTTTAATCTTCCTTCCCACAATAATAATATTTTTACTTAGCTTTATATAGAGGAACACTGCCTGTTATGTGTATTGTCACTCCTAGGTAACTCGCATTTGCTTAAAGTGTGTAAAATCCGATTTGTTGGATTTTTTATAAAATCATATATTTATAATATTTACGATAGAGTTTCATTGCAATATACTGGACTAGCGATGTTTAAGCCCATATTTGATCGGATGGAAAGAGTGATAATACCTCCTGGAAGGTTAACTGTCTAATAATTGTTCTGAAGAATGTATATCAATATGTGTTATTAATATATTCTTTTTGTTTATAGTTCATCTGCTTTTACTGGGGTGAGCTAATAGATTTATTTAAATCTTTTCATATCACATGGCATGCCTTTTCGTTTATCCATCAAATTGGTCGAACTTCTGTTTAGATTTGTACAGGAATAATGCAGGCCATCACATTGGTCACACCATTAGAGCTAGTTAAGATAAGGCAGCAAACAGACCTGAATAGACAAAAATACCGCGGGATGTTTTCTACTATCGTATCTATCGTGAGAGAAGAGGGGTGCCTATTTTTTGATTTGGGTTTTTATAAAAATATATTGTTTGAGGTATCTACTAATTCGCGGATTTACTACTATACCTGTGAATTATTGGCAGAATACTGGCACTTTATAATGGATTGTTGCCAACAATTTTTAGACAATCGTGGGGACTTGCTGTCAAAGTAATTCCTCTCCAACCTTATCTTTAATTATTATTGTTGTTATTACTATTAGTATACCTATTATTCAACTCTTTTCTGAATATAGTTTACGGGATATAACACGTTCAAAGATTTGTTCTCAACCTTAAATAACGGTCAACCCTTGCTTCCATGGCAGCATGCAGCATCAGGATTTTCGGCAAACATTCTAGTAGGTGTATTAAACTCACCACCAGATGTGGTTAAAACTAGGATGCAAGATCAAAACGTAGGATACAAGAACAGTTGGGAATGCGTAAAGATGATGTTGAAAAAGGAAGGCATAAGATCATTCTTTAAAGGAGCCACGTTGAGATGCGTTAGAATCGCGCCTGGAGGAGCCATACAATTTTCTACTTATGAATATTTGGACAAGACGATCAAGGAATATATTAAAGTGTAGAAATGGCATAGAAGGTTTGGTTTGTTAAATTATTTTTAAATTAGCATGCTCAACGGAGATTTGATAAAATAAAATTCGAAAATACGCGGAAAATATACGGTATAACAAAACATGAATATGCTAGGATTTTATTAGTAAAAAATATATTACTACTTATTGCTTCGTTACTTACTCAATTGTGATGAATTTGTTAAAAAGTAAAGCATAAAACATTTAGCGCATATAAAAAATTAGCTGATATATATAATATTGATGAAATAACTCTAGTAGAAAGTTTTTATTATAAATAAAATGTGGATGAAAAATCAGATATAAGATATTTAAATGTTATTAATAATTGTATAAAATGAAAAATATGAATAAAATATGGTTATGCTTAAAACTTTTATTATGATAGAATTTAAAAAATTAGTTAATTGATAAATAATTTATATTTTTTAAATATCTTATATAAATACTAAAATATTAAAAATAAAATGATGTTTTGATTTAAATAACAACTTATCCAATAGAAAATTATATAATTAATTTTCAAAAAATAAGTATTATTTAATAATTTAAGAAATACTAGTAAATATATAAATTTTTCTTTAAATATTTAAAAACAATTATAGCAAATATTACTGTAAATCAATATTTTATAATTTATTTTAATGTATATTATATATTTCTTATTTAATAAGTACTCATATAATTATCCAAAAATAACAATTATATTAAAATTGTAATAATTTCAAAATAAAAATTCAAATATAAAAAATATATAATAAATATTATAAATTAATATAATAAATTCAAGTTTAAATAAGATTAATTAATTATATATAATATATAATAAAAATATAACTATTATAATAAAACTAAAAAACTCTTTCCCATAAATCACTAATCACAAAATTTTTGAAACAAAGCTAATAAAAATTCCATCAAAAACTAAACAAAAAGAATCTGGAGTGAGTCCCTTCAGGACCCTTGATAATACAGAAGAATACTCCATTCTTGATGTTGTCCTCATTGATAACAAAACACTAAAAGTTTCTATCATATACAAACAAAATAAAACCTCCCTTGTTTATGCAACAAAACTAGCAACCTCTATCCAAGTTCCTCCCTTACAACACTGTCCTTCTTTGTGATTAATTCCCACATACAAATCTGATAATAACGATTCTAATCAACCACTATTTATTATTCAAGTCCTCTTTGAATCAAAATGCCCTTCTAAATTCTCCACTTCTGGCCTAAAAGTGACCGCCGAAATTCTTACAAACTTTGCAATGCCCATCTTAAACCAATTTATAGAACATCAAACAAACTTCAATCTATCCAAAAATGATAGAGAAATTGCTGTCAGAAAAGTTATCAAAGAAACCATGAATTACAAACTCCATTGCCCTTGGAATCAAATCTTTATTTCCACCGATGAATCCTCTAACACTTTTTCCCTCAAAAAAAGGGAAACCCCTATACCCCCTCCCAATACTCCTGTCACACAAAAAGATTATTCCATGGAAACAGACCAACCAAATAAGGAGATTTACAACACCCCTAATGCTGCTCAATGCACCCCTGAACCTGATCAACATCATACTGCTTCCTCAGTAGGCAA